ACCGATCAGCAAGCGGAGGGCACTTCAGAAGCACAACCAGCAGGTGTTTCCAGGGAGGGTTTGGAAAGCAGGGAACTGAACGAAGAGGACGTTCTTGAAAGCACAATCATCCATCCAGCCCAGGCAGAGGATCTACCCAAACCTCCTCAGGAAGCCGACGGGTCTCAGCCCGAACAGCCATGGGGTTGGTGGCGGATTGCTGTTCCAGTGGAGGACCACGTGTCACTTCGTCAAGTCGTTCGCTACAAAGATGGTGTACAGATCGGGCCAGCCAGACTGGAAAGGGTAGCGAATGACCGGATGCCATATGGCGGATATGGCGGATGTCATCGGTCCGCAGGTAAACCTTCGGCAACACAAAGACTTTTTGATGCTGCTTGGTTGCAGATTTCAAGCATTCATTACTTACCTGAGCCCCGGAAACTCACAAGGAAAGCAAGATGCATGGATAGATCATTAATATAGCAATGGCCTCCACCTTAATAGCAATGACCTCCAACCTAATAGCGATGGCCTGAAACCTACCTCCAACCTAGAAGCTATGGCCGCAAACAAGGAAGCAATGGCCGAATCATGGATTGTGTTTGAAGATGTTTATCAAGACTGGCAATGGCAGAAGATCTTAGAGCTGGTGTCCAATCCTCCGGAGCAGCCATCTCTCAGTGGATGTGTGCACTTGGGCTCGGCCCTTGATTTCTGCTTTCAGTGCTTGGAACATGTGAAGACCATTTGACAGTCGGACGCCCAAACGACTTCTCCGGCCCTAGCATATCAAATTCCATTGCTATTAGGTTGGAGGCCACTGCTAGTAGTAGCAAGGACGCTACGAGGGGCTCCTGGCCTTACTACTAGGAGCAAGGACGCTACTAGGGGCCCCTGGCCATACTACTACTAGGAGCAAGGACGCTACTAGGGGCCCCTGGACTTCTACTAGGAGCAAGAAGCTACTAGTAGCAAAGGGCATCGCTACTAGGAGCAAGGACGCTATTAGGTTGGAGGCCATTGCTAGTAGGTTGGAGTGGTCCATGTATATTAAACTCAGACTGCAGAGTGCTTCCAGCCGAGGCTACTCCAGCACCAAAGCAGCAGCTGAGGATCTCAGCTTGTCTGGTGGATCAGGCTGGTTGAATCCCAAGGTGAAACTAGTCATGGAACGTGGTCTTGCAGCGGTTTTAGGAGGATGGTCGTTCAGCTGGGAAAAGCATTCCAGAACCCTGCAGTGATGCATGCGGTAGCCCAAAAGAAGCAAGTCCTGTTCGGTTCGTAGTTTTGGGCCTTCGCAGTGAACCTGGATGCGACGATTAGATCACCAAAAATGCTAGCGTACAAGAGACTATTAGCAATGATGGCCTCCAACCGAATGGCAATTATGGCCTCCAACCTATAAGCAATGGCCATGGCCTCCAACCGAAAATCAATGGCCTCCAACTTAATAGCGATGGCCTCATAGCAAGAGACTCATGTTTAAGACCTTTTACAGAGCTAGAGCTGTCTTCCAAGTGCGCTGCACATTGATCTTTCAGATTGCTCATGGTTTCTCAGGCAATCCCATTGTTGTGATGGCAGTGGCATCTGAGGGCCCTGCCCGAAGAGCAGGCAAGGCCAGGAGCCCCTACTAGCGTCCGGCTTTGGACTTGCATGATTTGTGTCAATCAGATTCGCTTCCATCTCTGGAACCTCTCGGAATCAGACGGAATCAGCTGAACTCTTTAGTGTCAGGGTTTGTCATGATTCATGAACCATGTTTGCGTTCTCGAGGTGTGCTGGCGGGTTACCAGTTGATTGCCTTGAATGGCCGTGATCTCACCAAGAGCCAGTGGTCGGAAACTTCAGCGGAGCAGTTGCTGGCATGCCTTGCAAGCACGAATGCTCACGCTGCTTGGCTTAAGATGGCTTGAGTTGCTGGGAGAAGTCTTTGATCATGATCCGTTGGCCACGAAGAAAGCTTGAAGTTACTCAGGTTCGAATGGATTTCTTAGATCCTACGCCACGAAGCCATGGAATCCCAACGCTGGCAGATTCCTTGGCCAAAAAGCCTCTCCTGCGGCCCAGCTTGCATTGAGCCTGGCACCGCCGGCCACGAGGACTCGGTGTGGACAAAGGGCATCGCTACGAACGGAGCGATCGGACGCTACGAAAGGGGTTCCTGGCATCGCTACTAGGAACAAGAAGCTATACTAGGGGCTCCTGGCATC